TGTTGGGCAGATTCGAGAAATGAAATGAAATGGAATTTAGCTTTCGACGGAATTTAGCACCTCGATTTCCGACGCTGACCTCGTATGTCCGATCAATTGAGACTACCAGTGGGACTGATTCTAACTCGTCGAGTCCCCACAAAACTTGGTGAAAATTGAATGTTCAGTTGTTTTTTTGCGCCTACAGGTACGGTTAGTGATTGGTGCAGACGGTGGATCAGCGGTAATTTCATCAATCGCGCAAACGGTGATAAGATCGATTCTGCTCAATGAAACCATCAAAGAGGCGATTGACGCTCAACGTCTGCATAATCAGTTTATGCCGTATCAAACTTTATATGAACAGACTTTTCCGAAGGTTGATATTCATTCACAATCTTATTGTTCATTGATTCGTCGCTCGTTTCGTTTATTCACTCAAACAATCTAATACTCATTCATCTGTTCAGTTGTTTTATATTTTAGTTCCGTCAATAACTCATCGTCAAAATATTCAGGAACATTTTTAATTTATAGTTAATTTTACGTCTCGTTGAAAATACACCCGTATAATTCCAATTTATTCACTCAATTACTTGTATCCATTTATTATTTGTTAGATTATTTATTTGCTTGGCTACCATTAAAGTTACATATCATTTGCTCAAACCTTACTATTTATTTGAATTATTCATCCAAATTTGATGTCTCATCGATTATTTTTCCAGGAATTAGTTGATGTGTTAAGCGATCAGTATGCTCAAAATATGACTGCAACAGAACAAGTGAGCAGTGTTGTGCATGCGCTCGAGGTGCGTGACGATGGTTTTATTCATGGAAATTGCGATTTCAGACGGCATATCTCAACTTATCCGTGTGGATTTTAACTGATCACTCGATGTTGTAATACTAGTCTACGAGTGAAAGGGTGGTCTGCATAACGTGGACAAACCTTACACTGATGAACCGATATCATCCATACGAATCTTGAGATATTTGAGAGAAACTTTCATTCCGTTTGAAACATTCAATGGTGATAATTAAAGAATGGCAAACGCAATTCCTGGATTCTAAGCGATTCTAAATACTCAACAAAAATAGCTAATGCCTTATCAAAGTCATTAACCCAGACATACAAATTACATTCAAATTAGATGAAACAATAGAAAGTTGTTGAAATAATACTTGACAAATATTGATTTCAAATTATGCGTGTTGCTTCAGCATTTGATTTCTCCTATTTGTTCACGCAATTGTACGATCATGACGACGATTTTTGTAAAATGCTCAATGCTGTCATGACCAGATCTTATTCTATCCATTATCATATCATCTCTTAACAATTCTATGATATTCTTTACCTACGTCAGTGCTTCTCAACCTCGCTAGTTTTCAATCATGAAAATTCGCAGTCACATCGAACACTATGATTTTTGCATATGGCTTTCATTTACATGCTTATTACATATAGAATCATTTTTATGTGAATGATCTTCTCGTGTTGAATATATTTGACGATGAGTTTATCACTGAATTCTTATACGATTGAATTACACTAATCTCATACAACAAAGCAATAAATAACCAAATAACAGTAATAAAATTAAGATTGTTTCATTTATCTGTCACAAAATGAACTGTAAAATTGCACAATAACGAATGATACCTTTTTGATCGCACATTAAGACCAATACAATAAATAAGCCTCAATGTTCCTTCCAACTGTAACGACGATGGTGATAATAGCAATCATTAAAATACTATTGAAAATAATGATAGTAATAAATAATCGCATTAATAATATTACAATTCCAAGTCACACAAACAACGAATAAATTCCGAAAATGGACGGAGGAGATGGAATTCCACATGGACGAAACTCAAGTTACCCAAATCCAAAGAAAAACCCACAGCCATAATGAACTGTTCAAACGCATATTGAACTAAACAAGCGAATTGAAATAATTGGGATAATATGTATATATGAACAGTGAATAAACCATATATTATTATAAGTATTATTANAATACACCTCAAAAACGACGATAAACTTCATTCATGAATAAATATGGCGATTGCATTCCACTGATAACAAAATACCACTATTCGATGATGGACCATACAAACGGAAACCTTCCAAACGATCGAAAGTGTCCACTGAATGGATAATATACAAAGAAAAGTCGGAGAAACCCGTCAGAGGTTTATTTCAGTGAAATATCGAATAAGTATCAGATCGTCGATTCCATCACAGAAACAAAGAAAAACTCGCCATTGTGTATTCTCCTCTCAATGAAAATTCATGCAGTTACCAAGTATCATTCCAATTTCTTGAACGATATCAATACTCCTCAAGATCAACTAACTACCTCATGAAATCGTCAATGGAACAATGCTGCGGGTTAGAGGCACCCACCCAAATATGTGGTGCTACTGCTGGTGTTGGCATACCACCTGATGACGGTCAACAAAAACCAGTACCAATAAATCATGGATAAGAGAGAGTAAAAGAGAGAAATAACTGATCAAAACAACAACTGATAATGCTTTGCATTATTATTACATGCATAAATAACTATGACACAAACAAATTCAACTTAAATTCAATCATTTGTATGAAATATTTTTCATATCATATCATATAGTACAGTCTAAAATAACGTTGAGCAGTAGTCGCATGTCAATGCGATTCAATCCACAATTAAAAGAAATTATTTCATAGACATAATCAATAACATCACACTAATACATTTGTTCTTAAAAACTGACATACATGCCAATGATAGTTTCTAACAGTAATAATAATAATAATAATAA